AGTATAAAAAGGTCAGAGGAATGGTTATTCATCTTCCTATCTTTCGCACAAGAAAATTACTTTTTTACTTCCCTTTTGGATGTCGAAATAACTATGATTCTTGGTCTTGTTTGTCAAAGATTCCAAGTCTGAGTTTGAGTTTCAATTCTTTTCAAGGTGTCTTAAAACTACCAGTGTAATGTGGATTACAAACCCCATAAGAAGCGTTGGACAAAAAAAAAAAAAGTTAGTGAATAGGAAATTCCTCAATGAATTTGGGCAAAAAAAAAAAAAAAAAACTCCAATTAAGATACCCAAAACTTAAGGTTTCATTAATACAGAAAGGATTTCCATAATATCTAATCTACAAAAGTATAAATTATGTCAACCACACAAAATTGAGTGATTCCTTTATTGCAAAAAAAAAAAAAAATCGAGAGAGATCAGGTTAAAGTTGGGGTGACTAGTGGCGTGTGAGTGTTGGGAATAGTAAATAACTCATTTTCACTAGGTCTGAATTCAATGTGCTAGTGGAACCCTGCAATCAATCTTTAATGTAGATAATGTTCATTTGATTTTGCATTCGGGTGGGAGCTGTGTTTCCTGTCAAAAAGTCAATGGAGTAGTTCACTAATACTATTGTTTGATTATCGGAGTCCATTAATAGATTGGGAATGTGAGGCATAGCCTTGCGACAAGTTATGAAGAATACATTGGGGATTTCTAATATATATTTGGTAGAGGAGTTTTACTAAGATTGGATTATTTAGAAATTTTACCCAAAATTATTGTATCAGATTTATTAGAACTAGATTTCCTAAGAATATGTTATAACCCTTTAGATTCTAACACAATAAGGAAAAGTTTTGTGAACATTTATCAAACCGCATAAATCTAATGTTCTTCTTTTCTTGATTTTTGTCATTCTTGATTGTTCACCATATTGCACGTTCACAACAAATTGGTATCAGAGATGTTGGTTACTCGATCTAATGGTAGGGAATTCTTCGTTGCCCAAGTACGAAGTCATAAAATTTGATGGCACCGGGAAACTTTGGGTTAAGAATTAAAAATCTGTTGGTGCAGCAGAGATTGGTGAAAGCGTTAGTGGAATGAAAAGAAAAGAAACAAAAAAAAGATCTCGGTAGAAAACTAGGAAGAAATCCAGATGACGACAGTAAGTACAATTCATCTTTATTTAGCGGATGATGTTTTATACCATGTTATGAATGAAGAATCTTCTTCAGTTATGTGAAAAAAATTTGAGAGTCAATTCATGTCGAAATTCTTATCGAATAAGTCCTATCTTAAAAAAAAGTTGAATGGGTTTAAGATAGTGGACATTTCAAATCTGGCTCAACACATGAATCTTTCTATAAATTATTGGCAATTTATTCAGGATTGGTATCAAGTTTAAGGAGAAAGAACAAACACTGCGAAAATCTAGTTACAAACCTACTATATGGGAAACAAACTCTGACTACTGAAGAGATTACGGGACCCTATTGGTGTATAATCAACGAAGGCAAAGCACCACTAAAGGTTCCCAAGATGAAGGGCTCGTAGCAAAAAGTAGTCAAGATTCGTGAGAGAAGTTAATCCAATCACAAGGGAAAGAACAAACACTACGAAAATCTAGTTACAACCTTATTATATGGGAAACAGACTCTGACTACTAAAGAGATTATGGGACCCTGTTGGCATATAATCAACGAATGCAAAGTACCGCTGAAGGATCCCAAGGCGAAGGGCTCGTAGCAAAAAAGTAGTCAAGATTCGTGAGAGAAGGTAATCCAATCACAAGGGAAAACCGGTCAAAATCGTGCATCAAGTGCAATAAGAGAGGGCATTTGAAGCGGGAATGCCCCAAGTTGAAGAAGGGTAAAGGAGCGGGAGCAAAGAACAAAAGATCGACAAATCCAGCAAATCTAGTAGAACAAGATTCTAATTTGTTGTCAACCTCAACAAATTATGATTAGATGGTGGACTCACGGATCCTTGATTCTGCGTGTTTTTATCATATGTCTCCTAATCGAGATTGATTCAAAACCTACAGGTCAATAAATTGTGGTACCATTTTAGTGGGTAATGATGTATTATGTAAAGTCATTGGAATTATTACAATTAGGATCAAAATGTTTAATATTTTTTTAAAACTTTGGGTGAGATTAGAAATGTTCCAGATTTGGGGAAAATTTAATTTATTTGGAAACCTTAGACTCTAATAGCTCTGATTACAATGCAGAAGGTAGAGTATTGAAGATAACCAAAGGTTCTAGGGTATTATGAAAGGTCAAAAGATTGTGAAAAATATCAACAAACTGATAAGTTCTGTTGTAGGTAAAGTTGCTACAGGTAAATGACACTCTATCATGACATATACTATTGTGGCATATGGGTGAGCATGACATGATGAAACTGCATAAAAATAAGTTGTTGCAAAGGTTAAATCATACAAGCTAAATTTGTGCAAGTATTGTGTTCCAAAAAAAAAGTATAAGGTTCAATTCAAATCTATCAGGCACAATAGATAAGGTTCTACATATTCTCTTGATGTTTGGAAGCCAGTGAAAGTAACTTCAAAGAGAGTTTTCAAGTATTTTGTTATTTTCATTTATAATCAATTCAAAACGATTTGATTTACTTTATGAAGCATAAGTCAGAACTTTCACAAAGTTTAAACTGTGATTAAAAATTTCACAACCATTGGAGTGTTTTGTGAGTAGGAGGGATACATTTGTTGTTAGCAAGTCAAGAGACTAAATAACTAAATAGTTTATTTCCTTCTGCAACAGATTCTCAGTATTTAAAGCTCTAGGAGACCAAAGAAACAAAAGAAAAAAATAAGAAACCAAGATAAAGAACATAACTATTTGAAGAAAGAGAGTTTGCAGTTTTATTTGGCATAAATGTTAATGTTTCAGCATCCTAACTCACACAGAATAAAGACATTAATTGGATAATGTCTATACAAACGACCAGTTGGTGAAGGCGAAGGCAAGGTAGTGGACATCAGTTCCCTCTCCGACGACTTTCCAGGCAACAGCTCGTTGATATGACACGTAGTTCTCCATCACTGACAAGCAAATTCCGGCAGGTAAAATAGTAAAGCCCTGCAAAGTAGAAGGTTTGTGATTGCAAACTTTCCTAGTTTGCCTCATTTAGAAGCTCCTGTTTCATCTTTTACCCCCTTCACTAAAGGTTTTCACCTACTATAGTAAAAGGAAGCATTCAGACAACCTAAATTTCTGGCAAGCAATGATCGAAATTTCTTTTCCATGCATAATTTTGGTCAATTTGGAAACAGAAGCGTTTTGGAAATGTTTTGGAAATAATTCGGAAACATAATGGACACAAAGGAATAAATTGAAAACTTAGTTGCAAAACATTGATCGAAAGATACTGAAACATGTTCAAATGTTCAATCACTTGATTCGTTTTAGATTCTATGGAAATGAAAACGTCTCCACCACTTCAAAACAAAATTGAGTTTCTTGCTGGCAAGTCAATTTTGTATGAAATGGGAACTACCTGCTGCATGATCATCTGAACAGAATTCAGGGCCTCTTGGCCAGACTCGCGAAATATCTTATCCAGAGTGATGTCCTGCAAAGCCGCCAGTGTTGTCTCCAGCATGTCAAGCCCTGCTTTGTTGGCATATAAGCAAACTGGAACCAACTGCAAAAACAAATGCATTCAAAACTTCCTCAATATATATTAGATTGTCAGGTTCATGAGAAGTAAAACCTATCTATTTGGACCTTAATAGTGACAAGCCAAGATAATTTGAGCAAGAACGCAACTTAAACAAATGACGCATGCTTCTGTTTTCCAATCCATCGAATTGCATGTTTTTTAAAGAAAAAAGCAAACAAAAGTGTAAATGAATAAGTGATGCATGCACTTTCTCCGTAATTTAACTGAAATAAGAACACAATGTGGATACTGCACGACTTCCGCAAGGCAGCAAAGTATTTCCTCACTTTATAAGAAATTAGCCAGTGCCTATTTTATCTTCCATGTTTTTGGGTCATGCAATTGTCCTAATATCTTCCCTTTCTTTACGTTTTACTTTAGATGCACAAATATAATGGTTTTTTAGTCCCAGAAGAAGCATCCACCTATTTACAACCTTGCAAATACATGTCCATGAAAGATGCACGACTTGCTACATGTTGACACCTGATGTAAGCATATGTTGCAGAAAAAATGAGACAACCAAAGAGGAGGGAAGTTTTAGGGGAAAAAACTAAGATACGCTGCCCCAAAATAGATGTTTTTTTTGCTTGAATTTGTTACACATGAACATCATATCTTCATCTAGGATATACCAGAGCATTGTAAACATACCTTGAATGAACAACATAATATGGCATCCTGATGATGCCAGAGCTGCTGCAACACTGAGTCACCACTCTGGCAACTAGACGTCAGCAACTCGCCACCCAAAATGGATCTGGTTAAAAAGAGAGAAAGAATGTGGTGTTAACTTTGATCAATCATAAAAAAAGAGAAAGAAGAAGAGACTATTATTAAGGCACAATTAGCCAGAACAACATGATAGAAAAATCCATACAAGAGGCCCCTACTCTTATATAGTAGGATAACATAAAAGAAAACAAATGACTAAACTACCCATAAGACTAAATATGCTAACCACTCTTACACCCTTCCTCAAACTCATGATGTGGTAGTAGAAAACATCAAGAGTTTGTCAAGAAGAAAACGAAAGCGAGTGATAGTATGCGACTTTGTGAAAAAATCTGCTAACTGCATAGTAGAAGAAAGAAAGGGGAGGGAGATAGTGCCCAACTAAAGATGATGACGCATAAAGTGGCAATCAATCACAATATGCTTAGTGCACTCATGAAAGACTAAGTTATGAGCAATCTGAATAGTACTAGTGTTATCACAATACATAGTATGTCAATGTTTGCGCTTTGCTACACCATTCTGTTCAAGTGCATCAGCACAGGAAGATTGACAAATAGTACCATCAAATTTTAATAGATCACGAAAAGAATTAAAAGAATATTCTCCTCCTTGGTCATATCGAAAATATTTAATAACAGATGAATATTGAGTATGTATCATAGTACGAAAAACAATAAATACAAAAAAGAATTCAGAATAATGCTTCATGAGATATAACCAACAATATCTGGTATAATCATCAATAAGTAATACATAATATCTGGATCCTCCTTTTGTGGAAATAGGTGCAAGCCCCAGATATCATAATGAACAAGGTCAAATGGTACAAGAGAGCTAGTAAGACTTTTAGTAAAAGGTAAGAAGTAAACTTAGTTAACTTGCATCTACTACAACTAGAAATATCATGACACTCTAAATAACTCAAATTACCAGTGGAGGCTAAATGTTTCAAACGAGAATGAGAAACATGACCCAGACGAGAATGCAACAAGTAAAAACTAAAAAACGGTGGACTCAAATGAGAAGACGACAAATCAATGGTAGAAGCTGCAATATTTGGAACATGTAGCTCGTCCAATATATATAGTCCTCCATTTCTACTACTAGTCCTAGTCAGTTTCTTAGAATGTGGATCCTGCACAACACAACCAAAAAAAGAAAATTGAACTGAAAATCCAGAATCAAATAACTGACTGACTGAAATTAATTTCAAAGTAAGTTGAGGGATATAATAGACATCTAAAAGTGTAAGGTAAGGAAAAATAATAGCCCTGACACTTTCCAAAGACATTTGGCTGTCATTTGCTTCAAGTACAGATACAAATGGAGGAGAGAAAGTAGATACAAACAAGGAAGAGTCACTAGTCATATGATGCATAGCACCTGAGTCGAAAACCCAAGCAGTACGAGGTATGCCTGAAGGGCCCGAAATGAATGAACTTACTGAAGAGGAGACTGAGAGATCATCAAGTTGCCGGAGTAAGAGAAGTCTTTGCAACTGATCAACAATTGTAGTCATACTGGGAGTTAATGCCTCAAAAGTGGCCTGAAGAGAACCAAAATCGCCATTTGCCATATTTTAAATGAAAAATGTCCAAATCCAGCACAAAACAACATATCTAACACAAATGTATCAAAAATACTTGTTGACAGCCCAAATTCAATACAAAAGCAGCAAACCCAAACCAAATCCAGCACAAATCAACAAGCCCAGCCCAATTCCTTCACAAAATCTTGTTGGCAACCCAAATTTAAGAAAGCCCAATCCAAATCCAGCAAATATCCAAGCACAAAGTCAGTTTCTTTTTTTTTTAAAATAGCGATAGACAACATTAGAAGGCTTGGAGGTTGTGAACAGGAACTTAATAGTGCCCAGATTTTTCAACAGTGATACTTTCCCAAAGGTACAATGAGTCACCAAAAGAGAATTCTCGACAAAACAAAACCATAAGCGCACAGAGAGCAAATAGATAGTTACAGCCACCTAGGGTCTCTATAGAATCAACATCTCGTCTTCTTCATCTTCTACTGGAAAGACAACACAACAGAGGAAGAGAAAGCACAGAACCAAACCTCTGAAAATCAGCAAGAACAATCAATGAAGAATCGCAATAAACACAGCAAAGAAATATCCACCGCCTGGAGCAGAGAGCAGAAACTCAGCAAAGAACAGCAAGTCGGTCTGATATTTGTTTGAACAGAGAAACAACAACACAGCAAAGGACAGTGAACAGCAAACAGGAAACCAGCAACCCAAAGCAGCAAACAACGACATGATGAATCAGAACTCCAAGGTTTCAAATCTTGGACAGCGAGAATTGGGTTGCTCTAATCATGGAATCAAAACATGCTCTGATACTATGTTAACTTTGATCAATCATAGAAAAATAAGAGAAAGAAGAATAGAATATTATTGAGGCACAATTAGCCAGAACAATATGATAGAAAAATACATACAAAAGGCCCTTATATAGTAGGGTAACATAAAAGAAAACAAATAACTAAGTTACTCCTAAGACTAAATATGCCAACTACTCTAACAGTATTAGCTTCAAAAAAAATTGCTAGAAGTTTGTACTAGATAACGGAAGACGGATTCCAAATTGGTATCGGCAAGTTAAAACCAAATAATGCTCCAATATTAAGCACATCAGACATGAAATTGAGCCACTTTCCCACATGCGGTCTATTTAGTGTACGGTGCATATCTCAGAATTAAATTTCTTACAAAATGTTCACAGCCATGATGATACCTCCTCATGTGTATTAGGATTTGGAGCCCACTAGGATGCTGGCACACTTCCAGTCAATAACACAACTCGTATAGGAGCTGTTGAAGGCAGAAAATTCAGAGACTTCCCATGAAAGCAGAACTCCAAAAGAACGTTCTACTTTGATTTGGACTGCATATTTTTCTGATTTTGGACCAAAGGTCTTCCTAATCATTTCATCCCGTTTGTTGTTGACAATTAAGTATATGGAAATCAAAGATTGTTATTAATTAATATCTTATTTCGAATTAGTAGCATGTAATATGTGTCTCAAGATCTTTCAACTTGCCTATAGCTTTGACAGATCCAATTTGCAAGGGTGACAGTTTCAGGAGAATCTTGAGTTAGCTTCGGCGTGTCAGATCTTGATCCAGATGGTGTCATTGCTGCAGCAATCTTTTGCACAGAAGAAATTACATTGCGGACATATTGCCGAGCCATGGATGCAACATTCTCCTGCAGGTGGCTTTCGAAGGGGAATTGAAAGGCAATAATCAACAAAGAACATAAATCATCTGGGGATGAATCTCCAGCAGGATGGCTTGTGCCTGTGCATGCGTCAATATTATCTGCTGCCAGATTTGCCCGTTGAGTAGTCAATGCATTATGTCTGTCAAGCTGTAATGATAAATATTAGAAAATGGAACCAAAAGCAAAGGCATACTCGGTTCAACATGAATAAAGCATCACTATGAATCCTTTATCATCTGCACTTATTAAATAGACAAGCACATAAATAGAATCACACTTAATCATCCACTATTAGAAGTGATAAACACACAATAAATTCTAGATGGAGTAATCATCTGCATAAAAAAGGCAATCGTATGCAAGCTTAAGTTAGATCACGAGATCAACAATTGCCTCACAGAACCCTTGTGATTACATACTCAGAGAAAGTTTGGTCACATGTAATTAAGTGATGATCAGTCAGTCTTAAAGCAGGTGGTAGGTTCAAAAGTATATTAGTTTAAAAGATGAAAGGGCATAGAAATAGCCCATCTTCCCAATCAATCCACTTTTACAACTCTCGATCATTTGACCCTGTTTACATCCATGTTCTTATAACACAACTTGGTATGAACAATAACTGGGTTGAGAAGCCGTTATTGTAGGGCGTTAGGTTTAGAGAATGGAGAGAAATAATATGAGAGAGAGGCAGAGCATAGTCAAAGAACTTACCCTACCTCTCACTATCAATTAATTAGTATTTATAGTTATTTTAGTATACCCTTAGAGAGGTATACTTATAACAACTATATAAAATATAATACTAATACTCTCAATACTCTCCCTCAAACTGAAGTATATATATTATATAATCCAAGTTTGGAATAAATAGTTGTAAGACGAGTGTGGTTCAATGCTTTGGTGAATATATCTGCAAGTCAGATTTCACAGAGAGTGCTGCAATATCTCTATCCAATATTTTGTCTCAAATGAAGTGACAATCAATTTCAATATGTTTGGTTCTCTCATAAAATATAGGATTAGTAGCAATATGAATAGTTGTCTGATTGTCACAATAGTTAGAAGGACAACTGGGGACTAGAAAACCAATTTCCTGAAGAAAGTGTTGTAACTATGTCAACTCTGGTATGTGTCATCGTCCTATACTCAGCTTTGGCATTAGACCGTGCTACCACTATTTGTTTCTTACTTTTCTATGTAATCTTGTTACCTCCTAAGAAGATACAATATCTAGTAATTGATCTTCGATCTGAGGGAGAGCCAGCTCAATCAGCATCGATAAAATCTTCCACTCTAAGATGCCCATTAATTAGATAAAATAACACAAGTCTAGGAGAATGTTTAAGATATTGAAGAATGCAGACAACTATATCCCAATATGGTATTCTCGGGCATCCCATAAACTGACCCACAACACTAACTACATATGCAATATCAGGTCGGATAATAGATTCTCCGCCAACCTGCGATACCAACCTGGATTTTCAAACAAAGAACCATCCAAGGATCAAAATATCATTTCAGAGTACCATTTTGGTCAACTCAAAAACAAAAACGTTTCCGAAAAACAGAAAAAATATGAAAACACGTGAAAATACAAATGCAATCTATTTATTTATAAAGATAAGCCTAATAATTGATTAATTAAACATGTTTATTGGGTTAACATCCATTTATACAAGATAACATCAAGTTGGAGGAAAAAAAAGACTTGACACAAGTAAGTAATATTATTTCTAATTTAAATTGTGTCGTTAAATTAATAAGTAATATTCTTTCATTAATATTAAAAATATTAAATGAACTATTTTTACACACATAAATACTTAATTTTAGATATTTAATATACTATAAAATTAATTGCAGCTATTTTGATAAGTTAATTAACAATAATAACCTATTTATTAATTGCAGGGGTTATTAACAATTATAAAGGAAAGAGGAGAATGGAATTAATATTAATTAAAATTAAAACACAATTAGTGTGGGGGGGGGGGAATTAAACAAGCTGTGGGTGGGGGTGGGGGAATTAAACAATCGACGAAGACTAAAAAGTGAACACAGATGATCGCGAGAGAGAGAAAAAAAGAAGATCTGAGACTTCGATCGATGAAAACCCATCCACCAAATCAATGAAGACTCAAATCACAGAGAAAGAGCGAAGACTATGAAGACCCAGCACCAGCCCCTGACAAAGAAGGAAGAAAGAGAGAAAAAGAGAAGGAAGAAGATCATACCTGGAGGAGGCTGCAGCAGTCCAGTCCCTGTTTCGACTAAAACGTTATTGTTTCGACCGAAACAGTCCAAAATAGTGACGTTTCGCTTGAAACACATAAATTTTTGTTTTTCACCATCGTTTCGTGTCGGTGTGCTGAAAATTCAAAATGTTTCAGACATGCCGACACGACATTTAGATTCTTGGATCAATCAAAAATCAACAGCTTCTGATTCGGATCTATAGGAACATCAATAAACCTACTTCTGCTAGCATGTCGAGTACATACTTTCGTAGAGAAAACAAATGTCCTACTTGGACTTGGCAACTTCAATACCCAAGAAGTACTTAGTTTGCTTAGATCTTTAGTATGGAATCGGTCTTGGATGAAGACTTTCAACTTTGCAATATCCTCAGAATCATCACCAGTAATTACAATATCATCTACACATATCTAGAATTAGTACATTTGTGAAAAACAGAGTGATCTGTCTGACATCTAAGAAGATCAAACTCTACTACCTCTAAAAACTTACCAAACCACGCCTTCAGTGACTGTTTTAAATCATACAAAAATTTCTTTAGACGACAAACATGCTTACGATACTCCTCCTGAGCAGCAAACCCAAGTGGCTGCTTCATATAGTCTTTCTCAGCCAAGTCACCATGCAAGAAAGCATTTTTTACATCTAACTAAAACAAAAGTCAGTGAAATTTAGCAGTCAAAGAAATCATTATACGAACAAAAGAAATTTTGACAACCGGAGAAAAGGTTTTCTCATAATCAACGCTATAGGTTTGAGTAAATCCCTTGGCAATAAATCTGGCTTTGAGGCGTTCAATAGAACCATCAAGATTAAATTTGACTGAATTCACCCACCAATAGCCAAGAGTCATTTTACTAGGGGGTAAGGAACAAGATCTGCAAGTCCTATTATGGTGTAAGGCATCCATTTTCTCTTCTATATCTTTCCTCTAATCCGGATCAAATAATACACCCTATAATGTCTTAGGAATAGGAACAGTAGATAGCTTAGAGATAAAACAAGAAAACGCAATAGACAATGTATCATAAGAAATAAAATTAGTAATAGGATGTCGAGTAACACATGACCCAGTACCTTTTATGAGGAACAATGGGTAAAGAGACATCAATAACCGAAAGACTAGGATCAAAAGACGTTGAGGAAGACAATAGAGGCACCTCAGTCGATAATTGTGGATGACGAGAGTATACACAGGGTGAAACAGGAGCTGACTGAGGTGGTAAAGAAGGGGAATGATAGACAGTAATAGAAGAGGAGGTGGAGGGGACTGCAAAATTCAAGGTCCAGAGGAGGATCATGAGCTAGGAAATGGGGATCTAATTCAATGAAAGTGACATCAGTGCTACTGAAATATTTAAGGATGGGACTATAACACTGATACCTCTTCTATGTGCACGAATAACCAAGAAAAACATATTTTATAGCACGAGGGACAAGTTTGTCAAATTCTGGACCTAAGTTATGAACATAACAAACACAACCAAATATCTTAAGAGGTAAGAAAAACAAAGGAGAATTAGGAAAAAGAATAGAATGTGGACTTTGCTCATGCAAGACAGAAGAAGGCATAGGAGTAATGAGATGACAAGCAGTCAGAACAATATCACTCCAAAAATATCGTGGAACATGTATGTAAAACAAAAGTGCGCAAGTCACTTCCAAAAGATGACGATTTTACGTTTTGCCACACCATTTTGTTGTGGGGTGTGGACACATGACGTTTGATAAACAATGTCAGTCTTGCGAAGATAAGTAGAAATAGGATCACATTCGTATTCACAAGCATTATTAAAACGTAAAATATGAATACGACAACCATACTAAGTTTTGATTTCCTTACGAAATGTTTCACATATAAAAAATAATTCAGAATGAGCTTTTATAAGAAATAATCAAGTCACATGAAAACAATCATCCACAAATGACACAAAATAAGGATATTTATCTAGTGAAATATTCTTTATTGGACCTCATACATCAGAATATATTAACTCAAATGGATTAGACACACGATTATTGACTCTAGACTGAAATGACATACGGTGATGCTTACTAAGTTGACAAGTTTCATAAGATATAGACAACACATAATTAAGACTAAGAACTTGACTTTTCAAGTTCTGGTGAGAGGTATGTCCAAGACAACAATGCCATTGAAAATGAGATAATGAGATTTGAAGTGTTTAAGTAGATGTATCAAGGTCGAAGTAATAGAGATTAGAGACCACCAACTTCATGTCTCATACCAATCTTCTTCTTCGTCTGGAGATCCTAAAACACACGATAAGAAGGATAAAAAATTATTGAGCAATTAAACAAACGAGTAATCTTGCTAATAGAAATTAAACTGAATAGGAACTAAAGAACAAAGAAAACAAAGGATAAAGACAAATCAAAACTTAATTAAGAAGTTACCAATCATAAAACCTTAGAGAACGTACTATTAGCAAGAGTAACACTATGAAGGGGATAATAGAATGATAAGTAGAAAAGACACTAGACAACCCAATTAAGTGATTAGAAATGATAGAGTCTATAATCCAGGGGCTCTGGATGGATGACAGTAAACAAGTAAAAACGATACCTGAATAGGCAAAAGTAGCAGTAGAAGAAAAGGATATTGTCAATTGTTGGGACATGAACCAAGCATACTCTCTCCGTGTAAGGGTAACTACTCAGAGTCAAGAGTGACAAAACGTGCTAATAGTGCAGGTCACCTGATAGGAGACCTGATTGACAATGACATAGGGCTTGCCATATAAATCCCAACAATAAGTAACAACGTAGTTAGTATGACCACAATGAGTACATAAACGAGTGCCAGGACAACCCCTTTGGCCTCCATTATCGCCCCCTCGAGAGTCACGACCACCATGGGTACTACCACTATTGCCATTAGAGACAACTAAAGCTTAACAATCAGTACAAGGGCCATGATGAATGCTGGAAGTAGAATGAGCATCGGACAACATAGCACTCAGTAACTGAGAAAAGACTTTGAGAAGAGATGGAAAGCTGGGATCACCCAAGATCTGGACACAGATATACTTGAAATAAATGTGGGCAAAAAAAAAATACAAACTAAGTGTAGAGTCCCTGTATATATAGCCAATGAAAGTTACAATAAGGATAAAAAGGTAAAAAGAGAAAAAACTTAATAAACCCTAATTATCTAGACTGTTATATCTCCAACACTCCCCCTCAAGCTATGCACAAAAATTTTAACTAAGCCAAGCTTGACAATGGAGTCCCAAAGAATGGATAAAGTGATAAGTTTGGTGAAAACATCCGCAACCTGATCACTGGTCCCCACAAATAATGGAGT